AAAGTAGCAGGTAGCTACCAGGTAGCTGGCAGAATCTTGGGCCTGATGGGCACCTTTGGTGTGCTCTATCCAGCCTCTAGCTAGCAGTGGTAGCAAGTTAGGGCAGGCCACTGTGTTGGCCAGAGAAAGGCCCTAGGATTGAGGTTGCAAGCTTGACAAAAGCTGAGTGTAAAAAGCAAGCCCTTGATAGCCTGTTTAAGCATGACAACACCCCCAAATGGACACAAACACTCGTTTCTTTCCTTTCAGTTCAATTTTATCTGTGGGGAGACTGACACCACTTCATATAACAGAAAGGCTCTTCTGCTCATAAAATTGTAAGTAAATAGGACCGACTATGGGCTGGTTTCCATTCACTTACATGATCTTCCAAAAATGTTGATGCATGAACTGTACAGTATATATTTTCTTGTATTAGTAGTTATATGTGTTATAATCAACAGAGAGCAATATCATTATTTTAAGGACATTTTAATTTTATTTTAGTACTTCAGAGTTTCAGTGATGCTGCTTGGGGAATGTGAGGCCCTATTATCAAGGTTATCAAATCTGGCCTACAATGCTCACTTTTAAGTGAGAATGTTAATGTTACTGTGAGAACACTGAGTCTTAAATTCTCCTGACTCCAAATACATCCCAGGTTTAACATTACATTCATGCCATTTTTCATACTTTTATTTAGATATATGAACAAAACAGGCCAACATATGAAAATGCTAAGGGTATTTGAAGCTCTTCTAAACTGTTTTAAGCCCAGGGAACAGAGCTAAAAGGAACAACTTTTCTAGCATAGCATTATACAAGGTAATAGCCTAATTGATACCATGTGTGTGGAGTCTCAAACAAGTGAAATAAATCAAATGTAAGCAAGCAATAGGCACTGTGAAATTATAACTGTCTGTATGGAAATAATAAGACACAAGGGCCTGCAATGACTTGTGAGTTTGTTTGGTTTTTTTTGTTTTGGGGGGGGGGGGGGGTTGTTTTTTCCAATGGCTGGTAATGGCCTTTATTTTATTTTTGAAGTTAACATCCTGGCCTTATTTAATGGCCTAGACAATTTTTGTCCAGAATTATCACTTCTTCTGAGACTAACTCACATGATGACTTCTCATTTTGCCCTCAAGTCCTTTTTTTTAACTTCAAATTAAAGTTAATTGAATAATATCTTCTTGTGGAATTTTGAATTGATTTCAGGACCTAGAAGGGTTTTAATCCAACCTGTGGAATAACAGTTACTGGCTATCCCCTGGACTGTGATTAGAACCAGAGAGGACAGTTCCTCCACCTTCGTGCATAGGACATATTAGCCATCAGCACATTTAATTAAATCAGTTTAAAGAAAGTTAGATTCAGCACAGACCCTCTGCCTTGAATTGCTGAGACCACATAATTCAGATCTCTGACTAATATGAATATGGTGTTCACGGATCTGTTTCCTATGTAACTTTTCTTTTGCTGGCTTTCCAGGGATAGTTTAAAACTCAGTGTGATGCAGCTTCATCAAAATGTTACTGCTCCCTCTATCCCAAAAATGACTGCTCCCAAAATAATTCATCCCGGCCCATCTGACCATCTATCATCTATACAGAGTAATCAATATGGTATACAAGTACCTTTTCCCCCTCTTACCCTGCTCTCCTCCAAATGAACTGTGTCTTTATCCCACTCCTGATCCCTTGATCTCTTAAGTGAAGCAGCCCAGCCCACCATACAAGGCAGCTGGATGATAACCATCTTTTAGCACTACATTACCTCGTGTTATTTCACCTCACTAGCCTGGCCAGGGGTCTGGCCAGTTTCCATACAGAATTCCAGGTCTCTGTCTCTCTCTTGGAGGTAATAGATACGGTGCTGGGCTCACACCCTGAGCGTGAATTCCAGGGAACTCCAGGGAGATCAGATTTGGACTCAGAATTTGTGACTGACTTCTGCGTATACAATGGATTTGAATTAATCGCTTGAATATCTGTATACATCCAAGCTTTGAGGAAGTTTCGTTCAGAATCCCAAACCTCTGTACTGGCCCCTCTTCTTACAATGAGCTGAACCAGAGCATCGGATCCAAACACCGCCAAAGACTGGAGGAGTTTGGCTCTGACTTGCAGCTGGTTATATTTATGTATCTATAGAAGTCGGCAGATCATTTTCTTTTCCTCAGATGATGATGATTAAGAAATACCCTCCACTTTGAGTGCAAAAGAAAGTTCATGGTTTTCTTTTTAATTTTGTGCGGCAGTTTTATGAAGTAATGCACCATGTATGTGTGCTAGATGTTTATAGACTCTAAGGCTCTGTAAATAGTTTTACTATTCAAATCAACAGACTCACCAGCCACCTCAGAGAGGCTGCATGCTCCTAGTTGCTGTTTTAGACAGCAATAAACATTCTCTGCACAGTAGTGGTTGGTAATTAAACAAAAACCACACTCGGAGAGCATCTTTGGCATATAAAAGAGATCTCGTATCTCACTAATCAGGGTTGAACTTTTAGGCCAGTGAAATTATCTGGTGTAAACCAAAGCTTTAAATGACAATGGGGAAGTATTGGCCTGATTTGTGTAGTTTGGTACACTGCAACCATCTCTCCTAGCCAGTGCTAAGCAAGGAAGCACACATCATTAGTTGGTTCCTGCCCTCCCATCCCCATCCCATTAGTGTGTGGGGACTATAATCAAAGGGAAACTCTCCCAGTGCAGCCACTGAGAGAGGCCTGAGGCTGTCCTTTGTAAAAGCAGATTATTTATTCAATTTCAGGATGCTTTAAGTCAATGTCTTTATTTGGGGAGAGAAAGTGGGGAAGAGGAGCTGACATGATATTAGAAGTATGGGGAGAAACGCATGAGAATCGGACCCATCTGTCTTCCTCTGCATGGGGTTTGCCCACATGGCTAATTTCTTCCTGTTGTGGATCTTTACTTCCAGAGGGAAAATCCAGCCCAGTACCCTACAACAGGGGTCAGCAACTTTTGAGGAATGGCGGGATGAATGAATGCACTGCTGCAGGATGTCACTGATTTCCCCTGCTGCAGAATGCCGCTGCCTTCCTAGCTTGGTGGTCCAGATACAAAGCAACATGAAAATTGCCATTTACTGGGAAAACCTTGGCTATGTTCAAGTAAGTGGCAAAACTCCCATTTTTCTTCAGTAAAAAAAACAGCTTGAGAACTGTCATTTACTAGGTCAGACCATAGGTTCATCTTGGCTAGTCTCCTGTGTCACACAGCGGCAGAGAGTGGATGATGAAAGGGAGAGGGAATTGGGTATGACCAGGGTTTGTTTTTTTTTTTTTTCTCCTCACTGTTCCTCTCTCACTTGTAGCCTCCGGCACTGAAGGTCTAGGAAGTTCTGATTCAGAGGCTGTATCCCTAACTCCTGACTGGTCATTGCTTCACTGCAGCTGCTGGCTGCAGCTGTCAAGATGTGGGGGAAGTGGAGGGACCCCTCATGCAGAAGTAGCTCACCCCCAGAGATAGGAAACTCCCGTTCCCTGCTCTTCCTCCCCCAGCTGATGCTCACAGTCACCAGCTGGCAAGGGCTGGGGCTGGGGCTGCTCTGGCCGCCTCATGAGAGGCGTGCAAGAGCACCTCCAGGGGCCAGTGCAGCCAGGCTGTAAGCCCCCCTACTGAACAGAAAATGTCTGTTCTGTTAGCTCCTACTGTAACTTATAGTGCTTAAAGTAAAGCAAGGTAAGTTAAAGTGCTTCTGCCAGGGGCTTTTTGAACTTCTGTATTTAGCCATAATGACCATCATGGATCAACCTGCAGGATATCCTCAGACCTATATATATAATATCTGAAATTATATGATATACAGCCAACAAATAGAGCACTGAAGAGGCTATGATTGTCTCACAAATCTCCACTCACTGCAAAACACCCTAACAGAGGGTTAACTATTATGCAGCCAGGTGGACAATATGTTATTTTCATTTTTGGAACATGGGGAAAGGACTTGACTGCTTTCCAAATAATGCTGCAGCACATAAATTATGCTGGAAATAGAGTATTTGGCAAAAAAGAATCCCCACAAAAGGGAATAAATACACTGGCCTATAGCCTCAAAGTTCACCAGAACCAGAGGAAACATTTAGTATGCATCTGATTCCCTACAAAGCAGTTATTGCTAAAGGAAACTCAACAACTAGCCAGAGCTAAGGGATAGTGGTTAGGGGTTGGGGGGAAGGTTAATCCTACTTAATGATTTTTTAGAAAGACTCATGCAATTGCAGTAGTCTTCAGTCACTAGGGATTATCTTGGACTGGAATGGCACTGGAATGCTGCCCCAGCTCTTTAATAAGAAAGGAGCTTTTACTGTGCTTATAAAAATCTACTCACACTGACTGTATCTTTTTTTTTTTTTTTTTTTTTTTTTTTTTTTTTTTTTTTTTTAGCATGTACTAGGGGATTGGGATCATGAGTGAGATAATAAAGACTTTGTGGAATCTGTGGTGGTGGTAAAAATTTCATGTTTTCTGACCCTCCAGCTAAAGAGGAGTAAGGTAAAGGAAAAATGTTGTAGAGAAAGTTTTAGAAGTACAGGTTTCCCTCACCTTATGTGGGTTCTGTATGTGTGAATTTGCTCTTTTGCGATGACTCTTTTTATAGCAAAAATTCATTATATGTGAGGTAAATTCACTCTTATGTGATCGGTATGGTGGAAGCCCGCAGTTACCTGCTTTGTGCGGTGCATCGTGGGAGTGACATGCACCAAAATATAGTCTCCTTTGTGGATCTGTGCTCCTTGCTCATTGTATGCAACACGTGTTTCTGTAGTTGTCATCCCCATTCTGGTAACGTTCACCACTACATGCTGTGCCCATGTGTACTGTCTGCTGTTGATGAGGACCAAAATTGTCTTATAAGAGTAGTAGAAATGGGTCTGGGAGTGAGTGCAGTCAAGGTCTTAGAACGTATCCCTATTTGTTACATTGTAAAGTGATCCCTTTATGCAAATTTGAGTTATGCGCTGTTTTCCAGGAATTATTTTACAGCATAAAGCAAGGGAAACCTGTAGATGTGCTTTATTCTGTGTGTAGAAGAGGAACTTTATGGGGTTAAAATGCACCAGAAACCTCCTTTAGCCATCTGATCTCATGCAAATAAAGTTTTGTACTAAACTTCTCTTAGGCTAGGGACAGACATTCAAAAAGCCTGAGCCTGACTTGATTCAATCTTTGCAGGTTAGTCTAACCTGACTAGGCTGAACTGGTTTGAAACTGGACAGACATTCTCTCTGGGCTGAAGAAATTCAGGCACATGCCTGCAGTGGCTCAAACTGGAAGCCGTGGGATACTTGAGCAGCCCTCCCTTCCCTTCTGCAGGAAGCAGAACTGAGGGGCGTGTGGCCAGGACCCTCTCATTAAGGAGGTCTGCCTGCAGGGTCGCAGGCTTTTCCCCGCCGGCTGCTCAAGGGGCAGGAGTGTTGCCAGCCCCCAGTCCTGGGTTAGCACTCTGCGGTAAGGGTGTGTGTGCAGTGCATGCATCTGTTGATGATACGGAGCTTTGTACTCTCCCTCTCTGCTTTGTCATACTGTCTGCAGCAAACTGACAGGTGAGCAAGCCAGCTGGGGGCTAATAACAGTCTATATCATCCAATTAGCAAAACAATAGCCTCTATCCACATTTCTTCAAACTTCTTAAACAGCTTACCGGATGACCTGTTGATTAGTTCCAAAAGCCCTAAGCAGGTTTGTTCTGTCTGCCTATCCTAGTGAAAATTGGAGAGAGACACACACAGACACCTCTTGGCATTAGCTAGCATACCTCATCCTGGCTACAGTCCCTGCTGTGGCAGAGAGGAGGAACGGATCTCTGCTTAAGCAGCAAGTAGTGAGAGGGAGGGAGAGGGGGGCGCAAGGAAGCCAGCAGACCCTGCTGTGTCTGCAAGTCTGTGCCGAGCTCTAGCCAGGGAGCGGGGGGGGGGGACTAGCACTGCTGTAGAGCAGAGAACACTGCCAGGATGCTATGGGACTCTGATTTAACTTAAAACAGCAAGGGGTCTGGGACAGACATGCATAAACTGTTTTGAGCCAGATCAGTTAAGTCTGATGACTACGTTCAACCAGGTTGACCTCAAACAGGTTTCAGCCATTTTCAAACTAGTTTATATGCACTGAACATCTGTTCTGTTACAGGTTTAAACCAGTTTCTGATCACTTAAACTGGTTTATATGTAATGTGTGTCCCTAGCCCTTATGAAATAATTTTAATGACCATTTCACTATTATTTTTTGAGGCACCTGAAAATGCCAACATGGATACAGGTTTTCCTTCATTTCTCAGGGGCAAAATGGAAAAAGGAGAAAAATTGAAGGAAAAAAATCAAAATATTTGCAGGTAAGAACAAAAGTAGATATGAAAAACAAAGTGAAAAACTGAAAGCTGAACCTCAATGCCAAATTCAAAGCCTAATATTTTTTGTAATTTATGCTTATGAAGAATGTTGAATGAACAAAATAAAATTTGTTCAGAAACCCTACAGCATGGAAATTTTCTTTTTTAAAATTTTCATCAAAAAAGAAATTTAATATTTCTTGAAAAGCTCTGTCGGGGCCGCTGCTTGAAGATCTGATAGTTGGGGAGAGTGTACAAACTTTAAATTCTGGTTTTATATAACTCTCATATGACAATTGCAGCATCACTGATTGCCTCTGTCTCTATGTTGAAACAATTCCCTGGGAGATCAGGAGACAGTGGGGCTGTGGGTTTGTCTAAGGAAAAGAAGGTTCTTTTTTGAAGGGTTGGAGGCAGTAGAGAGAACAGAAAGGTACTAGCAACAAGATAAAGAGGTATTAGCGACAAAGGAGGGCCTTAAAAGATCTTGTATGGGGAAGACAAGGACATACACAGGCCTTGTGTCAACTTGTCCCCTTTGCTACCAGAAGAAAACAACTGCCACCGCTGTCATATCACATGCTTCTAGTGACTCCATGCAATTATATTACAGCAGCTCTGAGACTGGAGTGAGAAGTGCACACTGGGTAGACAGCATCTGGTGAAGCCACTGACAGAGCTAGTAGAAACTGTGGTTGTGTCCAGACTCGGCTTCAGCTGGCTGCTGGGAAGTGGCAGAACCTTACCTTGCTCAGCAGAGATGGAGTATCTCTGCCTATAGGGAGGATGGTTCTACTGCTGCACAGGGGCTTTGGGTATCAATCCAGTCAAAACATTCCTACTAAAACTGGAGCTCTACCAGCAAAACTTTGGAATAGAAACTAGGCCACAAAAGAACTTTAGAACAAGCTGGTAAACAACTGAACTAGCCTTTGTAGTGGAGTGAACCTGAAGTTGCTGCTGGACAGATCAAAATCAAAGACAAGCCATAAACTGACTAAATACCTGCTTTCTGAAAAATGATAGACTTCTAAGGAAAGGGTAAACTATTTTGAGAAGCATTGGGTTTAGGAAGTTCCTCATTTTTTCTAATACCCTCCAACCTCTTGTGCTTTATTTTTTCAGGAAAAAAAACCCCGGAAGAACTGGAAGAAGAAGAAAATAAAGGTGTATTTAAGAACTCTTCGAAAAGAGTTTCTGTTTCTGGACATGCAATTGCTTATATACCCATATTTCTGGACATGCAATTGCTTATATACCCATGATATGCCCTTTGTAGAGTTAAATTGTAAACTGAAGTACCCAACTCTTCAATGAGATTCCAGAAATCGGTCTGCTTGAGATTTAAGATTCAGGAGTGAACTGTGGCAGCTGGAACTCTAACAGCTCTGAGGAGATGTTGGACATGAGGGTCTATATCCCCAACAATAATTCTTGAAACTCCAAGATACATACCATTACTGTGTTCTGCTCATATTCCTGAGGTTTAAAACATCCATAGATTCAGTGATAGGATTTCCTGACAGCAAGCTGGTGAGTGGCCAGTAGTAAGGCACTCAGGTAGACAATTTCACATACACTAAATACAGACAGTCAAAAAGCCCAAAGCTGAATTGATTCAATCTTCACAGGTTAGTCTAAACTGAGTAGATTGAACCACTAAGCAAGTGAACAGACATTCACTTTTGATTCCAGAAATGAAGCCACATGCCTGCAGTGGCCCAGGCCAGAAGCCGGGGGTGCTAGAGCACACTTCCCTGCTCAGCTGGAACAGACAGCTTGGGCCAAAGCTAGTCGACCCACCCTGAGTGCTTTGCAGGGGAGATGCAAAGCATCCTGGGATGCTGGGGGACTGTGAGTTAGCTCGAATCTAGAGGGAATGTGGGACAGAAGTTCAGTAAAATGATTTAACCTAAATCAGTTAAGTCTGATAATGCATCCATCCAGGTTTATCTTAAACAGGTTTTGGCCATTTTGTAAGTGATTTATGTGCACTGAACTTCTGTTGTGTTATAAATTTGAACTGGTTTCCAATCACTTATACTGGTTTATGTGTAATTTCTGTCCCTAGCCACATGATCTTTGAGGAAAGAAAGAATTTTTTCCTCTGTGTTAAATCATCTTATGATACCACTAGGCATATCTACACGTGTGCCCAGCCACGTAGAAACCACCGGTACTGCACAGTCCCGGTGCCACATGTGGTGTTTCCGACCCTAGTGCGCAGTAGCAATGAGCTAGTGGTAGCATCACAGGTCATGCCCACTGATGCTATGTCACCGTAGCTCATCACCACAGTGACATTGCATCTTTTGTAGATGCGCCCTGTCACTGGTAGGTATTGTAAGGCTTTGGGGACCTCTTTGTGGGTGCCCTGCCTCCCAGAGATGTCAGGGTGAAACCCTATTCCGGTGCCACCTAGATGGTCTGGGCACTGCCCCTTTTTCTCGCCTGCCACGTCTTTCTTGTTATCAGTTGGGGAGGCAGTTCCCGGTTGGGGCCCGGAGGTATCTCGACCTTGGGGTTGTCTTCATGGGGCTCCAAACCTCCCCTTTACCCCACCCTTACCACACCTTCGGCCTGGGTTGATATTCCCCACAGATCTTCCCCACACTGCCCACCTTGCCAGAGCTGGGTCTTCTGGGCCATGAACCTTCAGAGGGCCACCTCTTGTTTTTGGGCTGGTTTTCCCCCTCTTCAAGAAAAATAAACTTGCCCTTGCTGGGGTCATCCACAACTCAACAGAAAAATGCCGGCACCTGCTCGTGGAGCTCCCAAGCCTGCCTTTCTCTTTCTCTTTCTCTCTCTCTCTCAGGGTTCCATTCTCTCCCCCTCCTAGGGGCTTGTCCGTATTCTCCCTTCTCCCTGGCAGGGGTACCAGGACCTCCCCTGTGCCTACCAGTTCCTCCGGCGTCCCTACCTGGGGTCCCATCACCTTGGTCCCTCTTGCTGGCATCACTCTTCTCCCCTTTTCCAGGGCTCATGGTTCCTCAGGCTCTGCCCCCTCCAGAGCTGTCCAAGGATGATTGCCGACTTGAGGGTCTGCCCTCAGTCCCGGTTCCAGGGGCCTTCCACAAGCAAGTTCCTGACCTGTTGGCAAGGGCTTTTTCAGATTCTTCGTAGGGTCAGCCTAGTCAATTACGAAGTCCTGCGACCCGGACATAGACAGGAAAAACAAATCTATCATGTTAACCTACTGAAGGAGTGGTGCGAGCTGGAAGGGTTTCTGGCTATACCCATCCCTGATAAAGAGGAGCTGGGGAGAGTCCTAGACGAGCCTGTAGGAGAAGGAGTATCCATAGGTCGAGACCTCATGTTGACTCAGAAGGGGCAACTGGTAGGAATAGTATGGGAGTTCACTGATGTGTTCAGTGAGACCCCAGGAAAGGCCCACAGGGTAGTCCATAAGATCATGACACCTGATGGAGCCATAGGGAGGGAAAGGTGGAGGCGGATACCCTACCATCGATATCCGCTAGTAAAAGAAGAAATAAGGAAAATGCTGGAGCAAGGGATCATCAGGGAGTCCCGGAGTCCCTGGCACAGCCTGATAGTAATAGTCCCGAAGGCTAATGGGACGTTATGCCTATGTATCGAATTCCGCAAACTCAATGCCATCACTCAATTTGATGCCCTTCCCATGCCCCAGGTAGAAGAATTGTTGGAAAGAATAGGTCAGGCACGGTTTATATCCACCTTCATCCTGGCAAAAGGGTATTGGCAAATACCCTTGCGTCCAGAAGATAGGGCCAAGACGGCATTTGGGACCCTGTGGGGCCTATATGAGTTCTGCAGGATGCCTTTTGGCCTCAAAGGGGCAGCAGCAACCTTCCAAAGGCTGATGGATTGGGTTCTAGCCCCCCATCATCAGTACATGGCTGCGTATATTGATGATATCGTGGTGTATACTGAAACATGGGACCAGCACGTGCGGGCAGTGTGGGCAGTGTTACAAGAGCTGAGGCAGGCTGGCCTGATGGCCCATCCCGAAAAAGTGTGCATTGGGCCAAGCAGAAACAAAATACCTCAGATTTCTTGTGGGGCAAGGCCAGATTAAGCCATTGGCCAATAATGTGGCTATTATACAGAAATATAAAGTCCCACAGACAAAGAGGCAAATGTGGGCCTTCCTGGGCCTGGCCAGCTACTATAGGCAGTTTATTCCCTATTTCACAGAGCTCACAGCCCTTCTCACGACTGCCATCAAAGGGAAGGGGAATGAAACCATAAAACTAGAGGAAGAACAAAGAAAGGCCTTTGAGGAAGTTAAACGGGCCCTCTGCAGGGAGGTGGTACTACATACACCGGATTTTTCAGTACCATTTACCTACAGCTTGATGCACTGGGGGCAGTTCTATCACAGGGAGTAGAGGGAGCCAAGAGACCAGTGGCCTATGCGAGTAGGAAGCTCAAAGACCACAAAAGAAGGTATGCTACCATTGAGAGGGAATGCTTGGCCCTGAAGTGGGGGATGGAATACTTTCTGTATTACCTGCTTGGTAGAGAATTTACAGTTATAACAGACCATGCTCCCTTGAAATGGCTAAAATCAGCCAAAACCGACAATGCCAAAATAACGTGTTGGGCCTTGGCATTGCAGCCATTCCAGTTTGTCGTAAAATACAAACCCAGGAAAGATAATGTAGTCACTGATTTTCTGTCCCGATGCCATTCGAGGGACACCCCGGAAAATGTACAAGACCTTCAAGAGGAAAAATCACCGTCTGCACGCATGACATCAAGTAATAAGGGAAGAACGCCTAGCAGTGTCTTGAGGGGGGATATGTGAGAGGGGAGACAGGAGCCCCCCCCAGCGTGGCCCAGACCCCTAACCAAAGTGCTGCGGCACTCACTGTAGGAACTGAGATGAGCGGCAGCAGGGAGGAGACCGGAGCACAGATGTCAGCACAGATGCAGGCTCGGCAGTTTCGCAGCTGCCTGAGCCTGTGCAT